TACTACCCCCTCCTCCTGCTTCTCCTCCTCCTCCTCCTCCTCCGCTTCCGACGGTTGGATGCCTTCAATCGCAATCGGCGTCCGGGGGCCTCACCGTCCACCAAACCACCCTAACCCAACCCGAAGGCCGCGATCTGCCCTCCATGTCCAGGGGGGGGGTCGGGGGAACATTGCGAAAACACGTGTGGAACCCGTGCACCCCTGAACCCGAAAGTCAGGTCTTCAGGTGGCATGGTGGGTAGCCAGGGCAGTGGTCGGGCCCCCAGGACCATCAGCAATGTGTCTGGGGCGCACGGGTGATTCCCTTGTGAGGGGTCGGTCGTTCTGGGACGGCCGCGGATTGAGCAAGGCAGGTCGGGGGAAGCCCGGGCCCAGAGACGTCCAGAGGCCCCCAGGGCCCCAAGTTGGCATTGCTCGGGCGTGTGTGCGTTCTGTCCGCGAGGACTATCGAGGAGCGTTGAGGGTCATCCTGCGAGGGGAAAACAAGCGCGCACGTCACCGCAGAAAAGCACGGGGGAATGGCCGTCCGAGCGATGGCAAGCCCAAGGGGCTCGCGGGGCGCCGAGGGCACCTGCCCGAGCGTGCATATACTTCTGTGAGCAGGCCGGGCGCCTGGTGGATAGTCGCCGTGCCCCGAAATTCGGGAGGGCCACTCGAAGGGACTCGGAGGAGGGCGAGTTGAGGCTCGAAGTTTTCGGGCGCTTTCTTCGGCTCTCCGCGGCCGCCTGGCTCGGGGTGCTTTCCAGCAGCCGCGCCTCGCCGTGGGCGTTCCAGGGCTGCCTGGGTCGGCCCGAACGGCCGCTTGAGACCGGAGTTACGGCCCGAAAGCCACGAGGATCAGAGGAGGGCGATTTGAGACAGCGGTAGTTAGCTTTCGGGGGGGGGGTGGGGGGGACCCCCCCGTCGCCAAGGCTGGACGCAGCTCGGAGAGCTGGTGCGTTTGGACGCGGGAGGGGTCTGGGGACCGATTTTGAGTTATCGTTGTCTCATCTCGCCCTGCTCCGAAGGATGCGGTGGTGGCTGGCATGACCCAGTGCTCTGCCGGCATCCGCTCGCAGGCGTCGTCCCTTTGCCTGCTGCGTTGTGTCTGTGCGTTTCGCAACGTCCACGCTTGAGCTATGATCTCGGACTTTTTAGTGTCTGCCGCGCTTCGGCACGCCCTGTAGCTAGGCCTTTAGTAGTTAGGCGATCGCTTTCTAGTTAGGCAAGTGCAACGATATCCGGGCAGGCGTCCCTCGATCGAGAGGATGAGGATGAGCAGGAAGATGGTGGATAGAGAGAGAGAGAGAGAAAGAACATGAGAAATAGACAGAGGAGATGGGCCAGAGAGAGCGACGGGCCCCCCCTCCTCCTCCTCCTCCTCCTTCTCCTGCTCCTCCTCCTCCTCCTTCTCCTCCTCTGTCGAGGGACAGACAGAGAGAGAGAGAGAGAGCGAAAAAGAGAGAGAGAGAGAGAGAGAGAAACACAAACAATAGAGACAGAGAGGAATAGAGAGAGAGAGAGAGAGACAGAGAGGCGTGGTACAGTCGTCGCGCCCACGCATCCCGACCCCTCAACAGGATCGTTTGGGGTGATATGCTCCTGTGCGCGCTCGCGACGCCCGTATCGGGTTCCCCACTCACCCACCCCACACCTGCCTGGAGGGAAGCAGAGAGAACGAGGGAACTAGAAAGAGAGAGAGAGAGAGAGAGCTAGATAGAGAGAGAAAGTCAGGCAGACAGACAGACAGACAGAGAGAGACAGACAGACAGACAGAGAGACAGACAGACAGAGACAGACAGACAGACAGGCAGGCAGGCAGACAGACAGACAGACAAAGAAAGTTGTTGGAACGAGAGAGAGAGAGAGAGAAAGAGAGAGCGAGACACACGACACACACATACACATGCACACACGCACGCGAATAGTAGTTGACGTTTCAACTGCCCTCTACTTTCCTCCCTCCCTCTTTTCTCCCCGTACCGCTTCGAAGTACATATAATCGATGATGCCTTCAGCCTATGCTGTAACACTGTGCGGCCAGTGTTCATGGCGGTTTTCCGCGTAGCACTGTTACTCATCAGGTACATCGTCCTCGTAGGCAGCAGGCCACTGATTGCAACCACCATCATTGTTGTAGCGTCCGTTGCGCACGGGCTCAAGATGAGCTCCCAGTGGTGAGGGCGGGGCGCTTCGTTGGCCCCTTCTTAGGGTCCCAAGACCCAGGGGAAGTTCGTTCATATTTCTGGCTAGAGGCAGCCACGCGGGGGAGAGACGGATATAATAGAAATCGTTTCATTACATATCCTGGTTCATTCGTGGAGAATCTTCCCCGCCAGCCTGGTCTGACATTGCCAGAACACGTGCGCACTTGATTGTTTTGGTGTCGAGCTCATTGTCTGAAACAGAACACCTTCGCAACAGCAGGAGCGAGGACGCTCCAGGGGAGCCACCTGTATCAGCGAAGTGTCCAGAACAGGCTTCCCGGACACTTCCAGGCATATCGTCTGCTACCGGTTGA